CCCTCAGTTTCGGCACGGGATCATAACTTTAAAGACATATTTTAATAAAGTTAATTTATAATAAAACTTGTATATATGCATGGCCAAGAGGTTAATGCGAGCGATTTCATGTCGGAGACCGGTGGTTGAATCTCAGACAAGTCGTGATTTACTTTTTATTTTTGAAAGTCATAATTTACTTTTTATTTTTAAAAACTTGTTTTAATGACGAATCAAATAGACTTTAACTTTAAACTTTACTTCGGGCAACGTTCTTTTCAAGCACCCCTCTTTAGTAAGTCCGTAAAAAATGAGTCTTACTTAAGATGAGTAATATTGAAAGCAAAGCCTGAAACCCAAAGCCGGGGATAGGTTACCCCCCACACCCGTAATTGGGGAGGCCTAGGTAATTTAGGAGTCCTTTTGCAAACTTAAGCTTTTTTTTTTAGCAGAACTTTGCGGAAAATTTTCAAGATTTTGGGGCCCTAATGACAGGGGTTCTTTTGGGAAGAGCCTCCGCACCATTAGCAACGACACTGCTAAAACCTGTTTTTGCGGACTCAAAAAATGGGTTGTCTAAAATACAAGTCCGCCTTACTTAGTGTCTGTGTACACTTTCGCGGAAAGTGTGGACATAAAATTCCACACTAAGTGTAGAGGCCGTATTTTGCACAATTTTGTGGAGTTACTATTTCAGAAAAATTGATTTGAGTGAAAATTCTATAAAAATTAAAAGTTTGCATTAAAAACATTAGTGTGGAGTAAAATAATGTGCATGAAACGCGTGATATAAAGTAGGTCGCCATCACGAGCATTTATTTAACGACTTAAAAAAGTTATAATTATTTTTAAGAAATTAGCATATTTTAAGAATGTTTTTATGTTATCTTTGCAATAAAGGTTATAATAGTATTTCTGAGTTAAGGGTTCATTTGCAGCGACATAAAGATAACCGACAATTATCTATACCAATATATTGTCGTCAAGATAAGTGCATAAGTTCGTTTTCAGTTTTGTTTAAATTTATTAAACATTTAAATACTTACCACCAAATAAACACAGAGAGAGTCAGTGAAGCAGCTGCATTTATAGAAGAAAATCCAGAAAATTTGTTTATATGTGACATTTATGCCCCTTGTATTAACCAATTAAAAGATTCATCTCCTAATCTAGATGTGGTTTCGTCTGTAAATAGTTTAGATTTTTTTCAGGATGTTAAAGATGAAGGAGTATAGCAGTATACCTTATGGTATAATACCTACAATAGTCCAGTCATATAATAATATGGCTGGATCACTATCATCTTATTTTAAAGAAGAATTTAATAAAAGTTTATTATTAGCCGGTATTGATCGTGCAGTTATTGACCGAATTTCACAAGAGATGCAACCCAAATTAGAACTATGCAATAATCAAAAAAACTATATTTAATTTGTTACAGAATGAGGCCTATGTAAAAGCGTTTCTGGAGAAAAAGTGTAGGTGTCTTGACTGATTTTTCAGATGGAAGTCATTTCAAAGAGCATTATCTCTTTAGTGATGTCTCCAAAATTTCCCTTATGATCCAATTGTTTTATGATGGTTTAGGTGTAACTAATCCGTTGTGAAGTCAAGGCTCTGTTCATAACATTGGAGTTTTTTATTACACTATAAAAAATCTTCCACACGCATTTAACTCTTGTTTTGGCAATGTGCACTAGTTAGCCATGGGTTACACTCATGATATTGCAGTTTATGGTCATGGGGCAATTTTAAGCAAATTTGTTGATGAGATAAAGGAGTTAAGCACTATTGGATTACAAGGAGTATTTCCAGTTTTAGGTACTTGTACAATTTATGCAAGTCTTTGTCAAGTTACTTGTAATAACTTGGCTCTCAATGGCTTGTTTGGGTTTGTTGAGTCTTTCTCTGGCAGTCATTTTTGTACAATTTGCTATGCGACAAAAAAAGACATTCAAATTAAATTTGAAAATGATCTATTTCAGATGCGTATTGTGCATAGCTACAAAACAGATCTGATTAATTTAGTAGCAAGTAGGACAAGCAATAAGAACAATTCTAATCAATTGAAAAATCACTACAGAGGTGTAAAGACTGAATGCCCACTCAATAAAATAAAAGGTTATCATGTGACAGATAATTGGTGTTTAGATATTATGCACACTCTCTTGGAAGGAGTTGTTTTTGTAGAGTTAGGGTGAATTCTTCATGGTTTGTGCATATTAGATAAGTGCCTAACTCCATCAGATATAAATAAAGCTATTTCTTTATTATGGGGAAAAATAACTATTGAAAAACTCATAAACCTGCAAAAATTTTTAAAATACAAGAACCAGGCCATGTACTTACACCCTCTATGAAAGCAGTACAATGGTAGGCTCTGCTTAAGTATTTACGAATGGCTGTAGGAAAAATTATACCTCTAAAGAATAAAAACTGGAAATTTCTGCTTCACTTGTCTCATTTAATTGATTTGATTTTTGCACCATGTTTTACAAATGAAATGGTTGTTTATATGAAGCATGTTATTAGTAATCATTTATCTATGTTTAGCAGGTTATACTGCAGCTATAAAGTAAGGTTACGCCCAAAGCATCATTTTCTTGTGCATTTGCCCAATATTATAACTAAGTCTGGTCCACTTATTGGCATGAGTTGTATGCCATACGAACTGAAAAATTCATTTTTCAAAAGGTGTGCCCATATTGTATGCAACTTTACCAATATTTGTCACACCCTAGCACATAGACATAAGCAACAGGGTTTCGAGTCACAACTCTCAAACTAACAAATTCGCAAAATTATCACAGTGGTAAAATATAGTATTGAGTCTACTTATTCGCTTCCTTTTTATAACACTATGCAAAATATACAGTGTTTTAAGTCATGTAAAGAAATTGCTATTGCAAAAACATGCGGGAAGTGTTGAATACAAACTAGGACATTTATTGCAATTAATATAGATATGGAGACTGGCTTGCCAAACTTAGGAAAAATTGTATGCTTCATTTCAAGCGCAAATAACAATAAAGTTGATGTGTACAAAGGAGAGAAGTGGCATTTTGTTTTAGAAATTGTGAAAATAAACAACTTTACTTATCACCTTTATTCTTATGAAGTAATATTTCTTTGCCAACCAGAGTATCAGATTTCAAGCTTTCTAATTTTGTTGATTTTCATCCACTTTATTGTCATAGTTTGCTTGCGACTACTGAAAAGAAGAACTTTGTTTGATTGCCATATAATGTTTTTTAATTAGTAATTTCTTTTGTAAATAATGTAAACTTTAGTTGCTTTATATAGATCAATAGCAATGTTTTTTCTAATTATTTTATTATTTAGCATTTTTTATAACATAATTTTTAAAGTTTAACTAAAAATGTTTTCTTTATAGAAAATATAAACATTTTGTAGAAAAAAAGTTTTTACAAAATGTAGAGAAAAGGTTTCTACAAAGATTTACAGTTGTTTAAAAAAAAAGTGTTTTTTAACAACTGTACAACTGGTATTCACCTAAGTCCTAGGCTACCTCAGACAAAGAAGTTATTATTTTTTTTTGTTCAATACAGGTCATCAGTTTATAATTGTTTGTAAATGTCCCTAATGATTCTATATATAGTGTTATTGTTAAATTTGGAAATATAGTAATTTGATTGATTTGATTATGTTTAGCTGATATATTTTTAAACCATGAGTCTAATCAACACACTCACCACTGTATTGGAATTATCTGTTCTCCCTGAGGATATTCAACATGCTTTATTTGGTAGGGTTTTCTCTCTTTTAGTATGTATTTTAGTATATGTATCCGAAAAGATATTCACTTTCTCTTCAAATACACAAACCTAAAATAACGATTTACCCAAATATATGTCTGAAACTTTTTCTTTCACATCAATACACATATAAAGAATTACTTATTTATTATATTGTTTTATTTTAGAATCTGGTTTTACACTATAGTCATTTGTATTAGCCACAAAAGTGGACCTTGTCAAATTAGGATTTAGGATGGCAGAAAGAAAGTTACTGCAGGAATGGATAAGGGCTCATCCGGTTGTTAATGTTCTAGCTGGTAATGAATATGTTACCCCACAGTGTTTATTGAGTATTGGTGAGTCAGTTATTGCTTCATCCAGAATAAATAGCTGCACCACTACTAGTGTAATCAGTTTCAAGGTTAGTTTTCAAACAACTAACAAATGATTGCTGAAATGGCATACATGGAGTAAATAAAAAAGACATAATAAAAAAGAGTCACAAAAAATAATCATAATAATAAAATAATGTTGAAGTGTATATTTTGCATAGTATGTAAATGCTAAAATGAAATAATATGAAATTATGTTAGTTGCATATTTCCATTAATTTTATCAGAATCTGCCAGTTGATTATATTATATCAGAGCAGAGGCAGCATCATAGACCTATTTGTGGTCAACGATTGACACAAAAGTTAAAGTCAGGAGAGCGGACTGAAAAAGCAGAAATGTTATTTCTAACAAAAGTTTGTGAGCGTTACCTGATGAACAATTGTGCTCAGTAAGTATAAATAAAACAAAAAATTTGATAGGATTTTAATTAGTTAAAATAATTTTTATATTTCTATATTTCAGAGAAGATAGGCCAAATGTTACTGAGAAGCAGGACTTATCAAAGTTTTCCTATCTTAGATGATGGAACAGCAAGTGGCTACGTGACTAATATATTTAATCAATTAAGTTAGTTAATTGATTAAATTTTAAACTCTGAGTGTTATTATTTTTTTGTTATCTTTGGGGATACTTCTTCTTAGGAAAATCATTAAGTGGAAAGTTAGAATACTTTGTTCGAAGCCGGCATTCATATTGTAAAGATATAACTACATTGTGGAAACATTCACCATCAAATAGGTAAATATTAGATCTAAAATGTCCTTCATTTAATAAATGATGATAATGATCATAATGATGATAAGCGATTATTATAATTGTTAGCCTGTTTTTTTAAATTTCAGTAAATTTTTTTATTCCTTACCTTATATCAATAGTCTTGCTACTAGCAGAATAGGTCTCACTACTAGCAATGATGTTGAAAGTGCTGTTCGATTACTATGCAAACAAAGACCTAATGCCCAAAACAAAGAAGAGTTAAATAAATTAATGGAGATTACAAGAATTCATCGACGATCATGGATCAACACATCATTCCCATCAATCACAGAAATTGTAAACCAGTACTCGCAGTTACTAGACATGCCAAAATCAGTATATTTACATTTATTTATTTAAATTTATATTAAAACAAAAAGTTTGCTCCCAATACTATTTTTAATGAAATTTGCAGTGCTGTAAATTTTGTAAAAATTTGAATTTTTTTTGTGACTTGAAGGCTTCTTCAGTCTAAATATAAATATATATATATATTTATATTAGAAACACGATTGTATGTTGAGTCACAGAAATACAAACTTAAAGTTCTGGAGTATGCCAAATCGAAGCTCTCATTGAATACTCTAATGTTTTCCTTACCGAACTAGTTAGATGAAGGTGAATTATGAACTTTTAACAGTCCAATTAAAAATTGTAGCTTATTGTTATTAAATTATAAAGGGCTCAACTAAACTCTCTTAGTTTTTACTATTTTTAACACTATTTAATGTAATGTATTATTCTACCTAAATAATAATTATAAAAAACTTTTTGTGATTTTTATTCATTGCAAAATTTATATAACTGTTTAAGTATACAAATATACATATTAAGTTATATATATGTTTAATATATCTTTTATATATCTTATAAGTTATATATCTGTTTAAGTATACATACTAAGTTATATATTTGTTTAATTATACAAGTTATAAATCTGTTTAACATCAGTTCAAATTTTTTTCTTTTATATTGTTAGACAAGAAAAGTGAACCTGCGGTTGAATGTCTTGCTTGGCTTCTCCCTACCCCACCACAAAAATCAGTTAAAAGGGCTTATTTGCTACTGAATGTGGTTATACAAAATCTTTTCTTTGACTTCAAGGTATTGTTGGGTTTTATTTGAAATCTTTGAACTAATATTTTTATAGAAGTTTTTATATTTATTTTTTTACATATTTTTATTATTATTTTATTATTAATATTGCTACTCTATCTGATAGTAAAATTGATAATGTAAAAAAAATGTTTATACATTATGCAGGATGACACAGTTGACTGTGCACTAAAGACACTGAAGGATCGCGGGGTTAAACAAACGATGCTGTTGCGCATATCTGAAGGATATTATATAAAGGTTAACAACACAGTTATAACACTGCCTTGTTGCAGCTGCTTTATGGAGGCATTGGAGTTTTTATTTGTCTTTTTATGTTTTCGCCGTGGAATATCTGACCAAATTAAGATTTTTTTAATGGATTTTTGGAGAAAGTCATGGGACTGAAATGTACTGTGAAAAGTTCGACCGTTGCTGATTTGTTTACAAACATAACTTTTCTTACAAATGTATAAATCTCTTTAAATCCCAGATGGGTTTAAATATGCTTTATTCGTTTTTTTTTTTAATCTTTAAGATGTCTTTTATTTGTATATTAATATTATTTATAAATGGATTTTTTAGTTAGAGATAACTATTAAAATTTATTTCCAATATTATTTTAATTTACAAATTGTAATTGTTTCTTTTTTCATCGCATCTACTAATTGCTTCAGTTTACTTGACAGTAAGTAGATCTTATGATTTAAAAATGTTAACTAATAAAAATTACGGTCACTTTTAAATTTAGTAATAAAAAAAAATTAAATCTTATTAATTAATATTTAAACTACTTTAAAGAAATTTTAATATTCTTCAAAACATTTAATGAAACTTTTCGAATCCACTGGAGTTCTTTGAATGAAATGAAAATTGTTAACAATAATGCGTAAAAAAACCAATAACACATAAAAAAAAGTTTTTTAAAGAAATTTACAGTAATCAACTGCTGCTCCTTGAACGAAATGCAAATTATTCGCAATAACACGTAAAAATCATAGTTTTCAATGATGCGTAAAAAAATAAATTTAATTCACAAAATAAATATAAGTCACAATAACGCATAAAAAAAATTATGTGATTCAAACTAACAAGCAATTTAATAGCCGTTCTTTTATAAAATAAAATTGATTCCACACTATTGTGGAAAAAAAAAGAAGTCCACATTTGTGTGTAGGAGTAAAGCCTACACACTGATGTGGAAGGAAACTCCACACTTTCCGCGAGAGTGTATAAGGGCTGGCTTGTTTGTGCATAGAGGGACACTATATCCTCGACTTTCCTATACCATACATGTTGGCTAACTAGGACCTTTAGTCAGAAAACTAACTTTTCTATTGGTTAGCTGGAAAAATATGGATTACGATGATACAGTATAATTTTATTTTTATCTTTTAAAGTTGTTAGTTATTCAAAAACATTTAGTTATTAAGAAGTGCTTATTAATTGTGATAATTTACATTACTAAGGATTTTTTTTTTAATTTGTGAGTACGTACTTTTTTTATCGAACCTCTCCCCCCTTCCCCATACGCTTTCGTACGCTATTTGAAGATCCTCCCCCCTCCTTCTACTCCCTATTAGCGTACCTCGTACCTTCTACTCCCTATTAGCGTACTTCCTATTAGTATGGATAACCCCTGATACTTTTTTAATGATGCGACAATGAGATAAACCAAAACTTTCTGAAGCATAAAAATGACTTAAATTAATTTTAGTGCTAAAGGTATATTTTAAATAAACTTTTGTGTCTACATCAATATTTATTATTTTTTTATTTTCCGTCGTGGAACTGCCCATATATAAAATTTATCGACATTTAAAAGTTAAAAAAAATCTAAAAGCAATAAAAAAATAACCAAAATCAGACGGAAAACATTAGCAAAATAATGAAACCTTTTCTCTTAAACAATTATATAAAACATGTTTTGTGCCTATTGGGTCTGATTCGCCTGATGCAAAAATCATTATTTAAAGAAAAAAAGAGAGACTCGAGTATTAGATATAGCTCAATAAAGTTAAAAATGTTTCTTTAATCTTTCTACTTTCTTTTTAAAAGTTAAAAAATTATTAACCAAGTTTCCCTAAAAATCTTTTAGGTAAACTTGGTTATGTAGGTATTTTCATTTAATATTTTCATAACTTCAAAACCAGATATTTACTTTTTGAATCATAAACCAAAGAGAATAAAAATAATATATAAAAAAGAATTCTAAATAGAAGAATCACAGATTCGATAACTAACAAATATAAAAAAACTAATTTTATGGCAAGTTTTTTTCATTTAATATTTTCATTTATTCATTTAAACAGGAGTGGTTAAACCTGCAGAAAACAGGGGTGGTTAAACCTGCAGAAAAATGCGTGAAAATTAAAATGTTCTTCCACTAATTTAAAAACAATTTTAAAAGATAAATTAGTTTTTATGGTTGCTGTTAACCATAAAAACAGTCCTTGATATTTTTGGGAAATAATTTGGCTTCCACTCTAAAAATTAATTAAAATTAAAAAATTTTTTCCCACAGATAACCTGTGATAAAAGTTGTAATTATTTATTTTATAGAACAGAAGCAAGTTTAATAAAATTTTCAGAAACTTAAAAACAGCATTTAAGTTATCTTTCATTTTTTTTTTTTTTAGGTTTTTCTTAGGACTAAAAGTACTTTCTTACGACTTAAAGTTCTTTCTTGCGACTAAAAGTAAGAACTTTCTTTTGAGTAGTTTATATAGACTATTAACTTTATAGATTATTAAGTATGAAATATATCAAATTACTATAATTCTTTATTCTGATTTCTGAATTTATTAAATTTACTTTTTGAGATCAATTTTAACTTTCTTTAGAAAAAGTAAGCCTGATTTTAACCCTGAAAAATCGACTATTACCTTGAAGTTTGATTGACAAACAATACCAGGTTCAGTCATATCTTCTCCTAAAAATATTTAAACTAAGTTGATAAAATATATGCATATATGTATATATATATATATATATATATATATATATATATATATATATATATATATATATATATATATATATATATATATATATATAAATATATAAATTTGAAGAAAATCACTTTGCAAAACTTTTTTTCATTTAACACTGTGTTTCATCAATAAAGACTCATCAGCAAAAAAAGTTTTTTTTTCTGATGAGTCTTTATTGATGAAACACAGTGTTAAATGAAAAAAAAAAATTTTGCAAAGTGATTTTTTACTAATTTGTAATTGCTCCGTTCTTTTAAGAACATTGAGCTCTCTTTTTTTGTGGAATGCATTTTAAATTGTTAATATACATATATATATATATATATATATATATATATATATATATATATATATATATATATATATATATATATATATATATATATATATATATATATATATATAACACACACACACACACACATATATATATACATATGTAGATACACACACACACATATGGAGTATTTGTACAAAAAATAATGACCGAATTTAAAATAAAAACCTTTTATAGAAACTGTAAGCTCAATATTAAACCGGAAAGGGTCACTGTGACGCAAATATGGCATTGGCTCTGGAACCTTCATAACAAAGATTAACTTATTTTAGAATACAAATTATTATTTATTTTTAATTTTAATTAATTTAAAATTCTCGAAACTAAAAAATTTAAAAATATCTAAACAAATTTTTACCATTTAGTTTTTATATCAATATTTTTTAAAACTACAAACACAAATAGGTAAATATAAAACTATCCTAATATTAAACAATTTGAATTTTATTGAAAAGTGTGCAAAATTCTAACACTAAAATAAACCTTATTATATATATCTTATACAAATCAATGGTCAATATAAAAATACCTGTAAAATATTTTCTAATAGAAAAGGTTCAAGAGCATCAACAGTTACAACCCATGGTGAAATAGTAGTACCAAAGTTTTTTGCTGTGAATGGACCAAGCGGCAAGTATTCCCATTTTTGAATATCTCGAGCTACAAATAAACATAACAGTCTCAATAATTCTAAACTACATTGCATACATGTTTAAACCTGATTATATACAATTAATATTTCAATATAAAAAAAAAATACAATCAATATTGAAAAACAAATAAATAAAAAATGTCTGCACCGCCTATATTTATTATTTTATTGAAGAAATAAGTTACTGTTTTTTTTTTAAGAGTGGTAGCTGCTTAAAAATTATTCAATTAATAAAAAATAATTGTAAATTGATTAATTAACAAACAATTCAATTTTTAAAAATAATTTTTTGTTTTAAAATTATAACATTGTTATAAATCTTTTTACTTATATTTTATTGTTGCAATAACAATTTAGCGTATATTAAGAACCAACCAAAATTATTTTCACTAATCCGGTACCAGTCAGAAGCATAAACAAAAAATAATTTACAGTGTGCCGGTACAGTAGCTTTGCCCCATTTAAAGTGTTGTCTGGAAAAATTGTCCTGAAGTTTGTAAACATTCTTAATTGGAAAGTAAAGCAAAATCGAAATTTAAGTGCAAACACTGATTAGTCAAACTTAAATTCCATTTAATGAGTTCAACCTTCTAATATCATTTAGATAAAAATGATATTAGAAAAAACAAAGTTTTTAAATAATATCATTTAGATAAAAATGATATTAGAAAAAACAAAGTTTTTAAATAATATCATTTTTATCTAAATGATATTAGAAAAAACAAAGTTTTTAAATAATATCATTTAGATAAAAATGATATTAGAAAAAACAAAGTTTTTAAATAATATCATTTAGATAAAAATGATATTAGAAGCTTGAACTAATTAAATGGAATTTAAGTTTGAACATAAAAATTTTCTGACCAAAATTTTTTTAAAAAATGAAAAATATATACAGCCAAAAATGCAGCCTATTGTAATAAAATAGTTAACACAACTGAAATATTAGTTTATTTATTAGCTGTAGATACCTTTTGCAACTTTGTAAAATAGTTGCAAAAGTGATGATTGCCAATTGTAAAGATATTAAATAATTGCGGATAGTAAAGATATTAAAAAAAGCAGGAAAGCTCAACTTAGACTCTCTTAAAATTTTCAACTTCAACTCACTTAAAATCTCTTACAGCCTACATGCTATAAAGTAACAGTTATAAAGTATGCAAGTCGAAAATTGCTAAAAAGCTTCAGTAAAAAAAAAAAAAAATTTTGAATCTGATTTATTTGCAAGTTTTATTATAATAAATATATATATCAAAAAAAGATAAAAAATAAACAATAAAAATTAAAAAATAATTAAAAATACTTAAATAAAAATAATTATTGCAAGATTAGTCACTCTGGAAAGGAATCTATAAAAATAAAATAGTTTCCCTAAATTAATTGCACTGCCCTAATTACTATTAATAATTCAGGATCTTAAATTGTAAAAATTTAGTTATGCTTTGGTGCTCAACAAAACTAGACTCACTGATGACTGTCTGTTCGTGTACAAAATTTTGTACACGAACAGACAGTGTTAACAAAAACAAGCTAGACTCAAAGTGTAACAGGCTCATGGTGTCCGTTGGCTTCCTGTATAGTTTGGTACATAGCATTCCCCTCGAGTCTTTTGAAATTGTGAGATCTAGGAAGTCAATCGTATATGGCGAACTTCTGAAGGTAAATTTTATGCTGTTGTGCAGCCCATTCATGAAAATTTGAATTCTCTCGAGCTCTTCCGCCGTCCCATTGAAAATAAAAAAGAGATCATCAATGAATCTTTTATAGAACTTTATATTGTTTGGGAAGTTGTTTGTAATTTCAGTGTCCAGAATTCCCATAAACAAATTAGCATACAGTGGCGCTATCCTCGAACCCATGGCCGTTCCATACCTCTGGTGGAAGTGTTGTTCTCCAAACTGGAAGGTAGCAGTATCAAAAACGATGATACGCCTTTGACGATTGGCGTTATGTCTCTGATACTATTGCTGCCCGAAACGTCATCTGTGACACATGCATGGTTCTGAGGAGGGCGTCACAGGTAAAACCACTACTTAATTATGAATTTACGCTTAAACACCAGGGCCCTGGCTCGCACACACAACATTGCACATTTCACTTAAGTGTTTATACTTTTTTATACTTGCCTTGTTATCTTATTACATTTTTTTCTATTAGTGTATGATATTTGGTTTAATAACTGTAGTATATTTGTTTTGTTTTTGCGTTAAATGTGTATTAATATTAATTCAACATATTTAAATTACTTTTCAACTGTGCCAAGTCATTTAGCGCAAACAGTTAGCGATCCGCCTTTCATACCACGTAGTCTGACATTGTGGGGTTGGAATCCTAGCTCAGCCTGATTTTTTGTATAGACAACTTTTTTGACCTTAAAAGCGCTAGATAGTTCATCTCTTTAACTAAAAACTCACTGACCCTAATGACTGCGATAAATATAGTCTACATTAGAAATGCTTGGTCCGGTACGAACTCCTACTAAAGTCAACCACAAGAAAGCTATGTTCAAAATAAAACTGCAAATTCATACGGGCTAGATTACCTAACCTCAAAAATGTAATATTAAAAATAAAATAACTTGGGCAAGACGACTTTGTAAAGATCTTATATAAAACGACAAATTCCTATTGGCTAGATAACCTAATCTCAAAAAAGTGATACTGAAATGTAAAATAATTTAGGCAAGACCACTTTTATATTGGCTAGACTACCGAACCTGAAATCGTGATGCAAAATGTTCTTGGCGTGAATACTGTGGGATAAGGCGTAAATAAAACGACAAATTCCTATTGGCTAGATGACTTAACCTCAGAGATATGTTTTTGAAAGTGAACTAACTTAGGCGAGACTACCGTGTAAGACTCTTATAAAAAAACGACAACTTCTTATTGGCTAGATTACTTAAAATTAAAACTGTGATGATAAAAGTGAAATAACTTAGGCGAGACCACTTTTCAAAGATCTTATATAAAACGACAAATTCCTATTGGCTAGATAACCTAATCTCAAAAAAGTGATACTGAAATGTGAAATAATTTAGGCAAGACCACTTTCATTATGGCTAAACTTATATTGGCCAGACCATAAAAGGACAAATTCCTATTGCCTAGATGACTTAACCTCAGAGATATGTTATTGAAAGTGAATTAACTTGGGCGAGTCTACCGTGTTAGAACCCTATATAAAACAACAAATTCCTATTCGCTAGAATTCTTGAGATTAAAACTGTGATGATAAAAGTGAAATAAGTTAGGCAAGACCATTTTGTAATGATCTTATATAAAACAACAGATTACTATTGGCCAATTTCTAGAACCTAAAATCATGGGGACAAGATGGTGACATCTTTAATAAAACGACAAATTCCTGTTGGCTAGATAACCTAACCTCAAAAATATGATTTTGAAAGTTAAATAACTTAGGCAAGACTACTTTGTTAAAGTTCCAGATAAAACGACAAATTCCTATTGGCTAGTTGACTTAACCTCAGAGATGTATTATTAAAGGTGTATTAACTTAGGCGAGACTAACGTATGGGAATCCTATATAAAACAACAAATTCCTATTGGCTAGATCACTTATGAATAAAACTGTGATAATAACTGTGGTAATAGAAGTGAAATAACTTAGGTAAGATCAACATGTAAAGGTCCGATATAAAACGACAAATTCCTATTGGCTAGAGAACCTAACCTCAGCAAAGTGATAATAAAAGTGAAATAATTAAGGCGAGACTGCTTTGCTAAAATTCTATATAAAACGACAGACTCATATTGGCTAGACTTTTAAACCTGAAATTGTGATCAAAAGCAAAAGTCTTGAGGCGAGAATACTGTGGATGAGTCGTAAATAAAATGACAAATTCCTAATTGCTAGATTACTTAAACCCCGGTTTTAAATTACTCGTAAATCTAATTTTGTATATGTTATTTATACATTAGTCAGCTTAGTAATATAGTTTTATAATTTGATTAGTTAGTTCTTACCTTTGCCAGTATAGATTTTTATTGTGTTCCTTCTTCATCTACTTAAACTGTAATTTTGTACTGGACATGTGTCCAATTTTGATAATCTGATGCTAACACTTAAACTTACTAATTTAATTTTCTTTATTTCCCTCAGGCTATTACGGCTCAAAGTGTTCCAACCAGTACACGGACCCTGTCCGTGCACAAAATTTAACAAAAAAATAATTAAAAATACTTTAATAAAAATAATTATTGCAAGATTAGTCACTCTGGAAAGGAATCTATAAAAATAAAATAGTTTCCCTAAATTAATTGCACTGCCTTAATTACTATTAATAATTCAGGATCTTAAATTGTAAAAATTTAGTTATGCTTTGGTGCTCAACAAAACTAGACTCACTGATGTCCTCAAGACAACTTAAAATTTCTTAAGAATAAGTCTGAAGATATCTCTAGAAGACTAATAAAAATGGCGTCCTAGAAGTAACATAAATGTGTGAATCTTAATAGAAAGTCTTTATTTTCAATATTCATCTCCTTAACTAGTCTGATCCATGGATTGTTATCATAAATCAAAAATACAAACACATCATGAGGTTTGTTCATGGTGGAATATATAAATGAAGTGTTGGCTGTTTTTAGCCATATTAGCCCAGAACACTTATCTAAAAAATAAAAAACATAAAATGTATCATGTAATTTTGTTAGCTACAAACATGAACAAAACCACTGAGTGGTTTGGTTCTAGTACCACTGCGGTTGCTCTGTGGTGGTCACTGTGGTTGCTCTAAAACTCATAATTTTCCTTTTTCTAAATATCCTTCTCAAAAAGTTTGCTTTACGACAAGTCCATACAAACCTAATTATTTACCTTAGATCTTTAATTTGTGTCTTCTCTAACATATGCTCCCTAGCTTGTGCTAAGCTTCTCCTTGTTTTTCTTTAGGTGGTTCAGATCACGCTAAAAACTAATCTTATTTACTCTACATCAGATGTAGCCTATTATTGCATATTTTACTATTATGGTAAGGCTGACTAGAATTAATTTTTTAATTTTTTTGTGCTGATCCTAAAATTTGAAAATTGAAAAATGCTTCCCCTTTTTCCTGAATTTCCTGAATTCAAACTCTCCCAAGAATAAGGTACAATAATTTGCAAAGAACTTTTTTCTAACTCATCTCATCTCAAAGAAACAGATAAATAGATTGTTAGAGATCCAAATCACTTATTCTTTAGATGCTAAAATTATTAAGAAACTGGAACCAGTGGTTACAATTTTTGAAAAACCTGAAGATCACTCTGAACTCTCTTTTTATCGTCCAATCAGTTTTTTTTTTGTTAGAAAAGTCTTGTCTAACAACTCACTCTGAAAATCAAAACAGATTTTGATCATCCTGTTCTACCGCTAATTTGTTTAAAAAAAAAAAAAGTTCTATGATTAGATAGAAGCAGATGAGAGCAATAGCCCTTGTGAGGCAAGGGCTATTGCTCTTGATATATCAAAAGCCTTTAATAAAGTCTGGCATGCTGGTCTTCTCTATAAGCTTATTTTATTTAGTGTATCTGGAAAATTAAAATTTTCCTCCATTAAGTAAATACATTTGTGATGCAGGCAAACTGTTTTATTTTTATTGATTCCCATTCCAAAATGACTAACTATGCAAATAAATCAAATTTAAAAAATTATTTTTTTCTAATTTTATATTTTATTATATAACAAACTCCATAGAGTTTATCACATATAAAAGCATAACACAAAAAGTTTCAGAATCATCTTTTGATGAATCTGAGACTTTATCTCAAGGTGTCAAAAATGTTTGTTTTTTTGTTAAATTTGATATGAAATGACCATCATGCCAACTGTTATTATTATCAGTAGTCTTGTAATATTTCATTTTTTTAGAATTTTACACATTTTGAGTTGACTAATAGTACTATAAAGCCAGATAACTGTAATAATATCATCTCTGTATCATAACTGTAATCATCTCTGATCTGACTTTTATAGCTCTTCTTCATTTGATTATCTGCTCACAAGCTGTGAATATTAGACTTTCAAACGACCATATTAAAAAATTGATATTAGGCTTTAAATTATGTAGCAGCTTAAGCAATTTTTTACAACTGGATCCCACTTTAATGTTAACCTGTATTGCAGATCAGAACAGTATTTTTATTGTAACACCACCACTCGGAAGATTTCTTTGTACTCACAATTAAAATACACCAAAATTTTTTTTCTCTTAAACCACCTTCTTAAGTAAGAGCCTCACTTGCCATAAAAAAAAAAAGTAAATAATGAGTAAGGTCCTTTAGTGGTCCCTTGGAGAAGTGAAGTGAAGCCTTGGGAAGTGAGTAGGTAGAAAAAGTCAATATTTTTTGTATAAGAAGAAATCTGTTTCAGGATTTCCAATCCTGCAAACTATAAACAATATATCAAAATCAAAAACTACATTAGATTTTAAAGAATTATGACAATTCATTTGAAAAAATGTGAAAATTTAAAAGTTAAGGGAGTTATATTAATTATAACTCCACTAACATTTTAAACTTTCTTGATCTTATATATAATATTATACTTTTTTTAGTTTTTAAGCTCTTAATTAAAAATATATATATATATTCACTGTAAAAACATTTGAATAATATAACTTAACACTTAGCAGAGTAAAATGGTTGAAATAAGGTTTAGACTACAGCCTCAAAGAATTAAAAAAAAAAAAACAAAAAAAAAAACATACCACTCCAATCATTCATGATTACAAAACCAAATATGTGATCATTTGCCTGTAAAAAATAGTAATAATATTAACTTTTAATTCGCTTAATTTTAAACCCAATATTTAAAAATTAATAGTCACTCTGAGTGTAGAACATATGCAACAAAGAACGAATGTTTAATCTACTGACTTTAGAGACTATTGATGTCTTCAGATGTAATGATGTAGTGCATTTGTATGTTTTGTTTGGTCATTTAGTATGGTCTCATTATGTTTTTGTTCACTATCAAATCGGGTGAATAGAAAGCTAAACAAACTCACTTCTTGTGCTTATGGGCTAGCACATCAGAGCCAGACTTAAGACCTACAGAATGGATTTCAATTGATTGAATGCACACATTAGTCACCGTAGGCCACAAGCTATCACTCTTAGCCAAAAGAGCTACGACCCCGTACTAGTGTGGAATGTTGTGCCATGAAGTGAGATTTTAGATTTGAGCACATAGTCAGCAAGCGCTGATCCAACGTGCATTGTGGATCAGCGCTTGCTGACTATGTGCTCGGTTAGTCATTAGGTTATTGAGCTGTAACCTCATCCAGTGGGATAGCCTAAAGTCCGTTTTATCGTTGTGGTGTACATTGGAAGAAGTCAAAAAGAATAAATTTTAAACACAAAGATCGCAAAAAGTGACCAATGGCGCCATCCAGTTACGTAGACCTGGGAGATGTTATAATTGAATCAGGTTGTTGATGATGTCATTTAGGTAAAAAAGATAAATTAATGCAAAGACTAATTAGTAGGAGGAATAAAATTTAATTACTCAGGAAAAGGGGAACCATAACTCACACTCTAGTCATCCTCAGCAAATGACAAGACAATGGTCTATGAGTAAACAAGTCAATATAAATTAGCTGGTTTATTAATGGTAACCATGGCTAAACTAACTTTCTACTTTTTAATTTAATTTAATTTATTTTAAAGAAATTATCCAAACTATATATAAATTTTATTTTTTTAAATATATTAAATATAAGTAAATAAACATTTACTTATATTTAATATAACATAAAAAAAAAAAAAAAATTATTTTAACATTTTTAATAAATAAAAATGATACATTCTTGAATTGAAATGAGTTTATTGTGTTTAGTTTTAGCTGCATTTTTTGTTTGTTTTGCTTTTACTCTTTGAGGACAGGTTGACATATTTGTCCCACCCATTTATTCAAAGGAATAAAAAAAAACACAATTAACTTACATTTTCAGCAGTAATTGTTTCACCAAGACTATTTCCAGGTCCACAAAAAAATGCCTACATAAAAAAAAAAAATTATTTCTTTTATATATATATATATATATATATATATATATATATATATATATATATATATATATATATATATATATATATATACATACACACACACACACACACACACACACACACACACACACACACACACACACACACACACATATGGGCATTTCCAAAAAATCATACATGGAAACTTGTATATGTTTTGTCTATTATTTTCATAATAATAAAACTGCCAATAAATTTGCTCTCATTTAACTCTAACCTAACAAAATCACGCACAGATCAGAAAAACTCAAACTTTAGTTTCTAAATAAATAAACTCTAATTCCTTGGAAAATGTAAGTTTCAGCATTATATATATATATATATATATATATATATATATATATATATATATATATATATATATATATATATATATATATATATACATGTATATATATATATATATATATATATATATATATATATATATATATATATATATATATATATATACACAAATAGTATTGCGTACTTTGGTAAGCAATCTGACGTCATACTGAATTAGCCGGCTGCTGGGGGCTTCAGTACATACAACGACTGACAAATAGCCTGACTTGCAGTGAAGTGCTGCTACATCGACTGAGGGTTTGGTATGGGGAAGCAATCGTTTTATTTATCATTCTTCGTTTTTTTCTTCTTCTATTTCGAAAAAAACGGTTTACCTTAAAGTAAGCACAAAAAGTGAGCAAATGCTTATCAAAACACGCTTTAGTAAGTGTATATATATATATATATATATATATATATATATATATTATATATATATATATATATATATATATATATATATACATATATATATATTTTAAAATGTTTTAAACATTAGTAAAGCTTTCCAGAAAGTTACAGGATTGCAGTGTATCATAGAGTCACAGCAATTGTTTAAATACAGCTTATGAATGATCACGCATGAGGTCACGAATGATCATGCATGGAAGTCATGAAGTTGCAAATTTGTTAATTTCATGTAGATATTTTTAAGTAAATAAATTGCTTGAAAGCATTTTAAGTGAAATATTATGCTTCTACAACTCATATTTAATATATTTTCAATGAGAAATGGCAGTCATCAATTATTTCTAGCTAAAATTTAGAGTTTTGAAAAATGTTGTTTATTTTGCAAACTGTAGCGATATTATTACACAAAAATAAATAAAATGATTAAAATATATATATTTAATTTATTCAGTTAGCATAAAATATGATTAACATATTTTTTTTTTAAACATTTTTTAAGTAAATCATAATAGTATGCATATTGCTTCAAGTCCCAGTTTTTAATTGCTAAAACAAAGAAAAATAAAAGATCGCACACAGAAATGGAAATGCCCATATATATATATATATATATATATATATATATATATATATATATATATATATATATATATATATATATATATATATATATATATATATATATGTATATATATATATGTATATATATATATATGTATATATATATATGTATATATATATATATATATATATATATATATATATATATATATATATATATATATATATATATATATATATATATATATATATATATATTCACAATATATTGTGAGTGTATTTAAGTACAAAAAAAAAGATGATAAAATAATAAATTAACCATTTCAAGTTCAAAATCCAAAATTTTACATGGTCCAAAAACTGGAGTAACTAAAAAATAAAATTGGTAAAAAGTAAAGAACAAGAATAAAATTGAAGTATTTAAAAAAAAGAACTAAACAATTTTTTGAAAACTGTTTAAACAAAACAAAAAAATTAAAAAAAAGCTAACTTTACTTAAAGTAATTTTTAAATTCTTATTTCATAAATTCAAAACTTAAGTATTTGGCAAGAATTTGTTGTTTTAAATTTTGTTTGTTCGTACTGATTTATGACCAGCAACAGTACGTTATCTACCCTGTAACATATATTCATTTATTTAAAGTCAACAGAATACACAATAAAAATAAAAAACAAACAAGAAAATAAAAGCTATTATTTAACAAAATGATTGTTTTGTATTGCCTTAAGAGTTGATAAAAGATTTTCTCCATTTATCATTAACATATTATTACAGATAAAAAGTGTTTCAAGAGTCATTTAAACGCAGTAAAAAATTGACTTAACATTTAATTCTGTTAACAAATTATTGTCATTATTGAATTTTTGAATTAAATAATTGCCATTATTGTCAGAAGTATTGTTTTAAAGTAATTAATGCAATAAAAGTAATAAAAATAACTAATGTTACAAACAAACTTTGTTAAGGGGGCTTTCACTTTCCTACCACTATACTAAAAGGTTATTCTAGCTGAAAATAGTTATAAAAAATGATAATAAATTTCTTTTTTACTGTAAGTAATTAAACCAGTAAATAACTTAGCAAAAAACAATAAATGTAGTAACAATCAGTCATAAAAAATATAAAAAAAGAAAAGAAAAAGAAGATTAGATTAAACAGCCTACTTTCATCAATGCTTGATTGGCCACAGGGTCTTCTAATTGGAGTACCAGATACAACAACTGAGGAAGCTCTTCCATGGTAACCAACTGGTAAGTGCAGCCTAAAAAGAATGGATTAATGGATTTTCACAAAGTTTTCTCAAATTATTTGGAATTATTGTTAAATATTTTAATCATTAACAATTTTTGAACAATTTCAGAATAATAAAATAACATGTACAAAAAATTATACCAATTTGGCATAAGGGCATTATCTTTTCCTCTAAACATGATTCCTACATTTGTTGCATGGTCCCGAGAAGAATAAAAGTCTGTGTAATCACCTGTAACAATTATTACTGAACTTAGTCAAAATGTGATTAATTAAAAATTAAAAAAAAAAGTTCTGTCAAGGAGAATAAATAATACAGTACAATCTCTTTAATTCATATCTCCTTAACTTTTAATAACAAAAATTATAATACAAAATAGTTAATGTTATGAAGCAATATTTTTATGTTTTAGTATTTCTAAACAGTTTATAAGTCATATAAAAAAAAATACAAAATATGAAAACAAAACTATGTGTTAGCATACCAATTTTAGCAGGTAGATGCATTTTTACTTGACTTTGATGAACCAATGCTCTATAATTTAGAAATATAAAGAACCTGTCCTTGTGCACCACAATAAAAGAAAATTATGTTTAACCTTTGTTTAAACAGTTTTACATAAATAAAAAAATATGTATGTTACAATATAGAAAAAAGCTACACAAAGTGTTTATTGTGTGTATTTATATATATATATATATATATATATATATATATATATATATATATATATATATATATATATATATATATATATATATATATATATATATATATATATATATATATATATACCAATTTAATGTGTTCTATATAATAAAAAACAATGGTTTAAAAAATTTTACTAATTAAAAAAAAAAAAAAATTCATTTTAACCAATTTTTTTGACAATTTCTTTTTCAATAAGTTTTTTTAATACAATTTTTACTTACAAATTTTCATATGATTTTGCTTCATTTGAGACCCAACATAATAGACTTTTGAAGAATTTTTTTTTTTGATAATATTCGGAACACGTTATATGTTCAAGGGTTTTGATGGAACCCCGTAAATACTTTTCATTCAAAAATTTTTTAAAACCAATGTTATTTAATCATATAGAACACATAAAGGGGGTGGCAACATATAATTTTAAAAAATATTGTTTTTTGGGACCCTAATATATATATTATATTATTCAAATTATAGAGGACTGGAGTTATATTAAAGATAGTAACAAATCAATTTTTGCAAAAGCAAATTTTTTTTTTTTTTTGATTTTGCAAAAGCATTCGATCTTGTTAGTCTTGACAAATTACTCCTAAAGTTAATAAATATTCCAACTAGATAGCTCACTTCCTGAATTAAAGCTTACTTATCTCTCACCAAAGAATTAAAACAAATGATCTCACCACTGACTGGATATGTATTGTAGCCAGAGTACTAAGTAGTGTTTTTGGTCTAATTTTGTTCATTCTCTTTATTTCTGACATTAACGCCTATCTCCCACCTGAAACCATTCTCCAAAAGCATGCTAACTTATATAATCTACGATATAGTTCCTGCCAACTTACCTCGATTGCAGATGGTGTTGCACTATTGTCAATAGAACGGTACCTCTAAATGTTAAATCATTAAAATTAAACGTTAAAATTCAATTCATTCATTCAAACCTTCTCTTGTACTCAACAATACTGAGCTTGAAAAAGTCAAGAGCCACAAATACCTAGGAATCATGTTCGATGAGAATCTTGATTGGGATGAACAATGGACAAAAGTAAACAACAATATAAAATCAGTACCATATTTACTCAAACGCCTTAAGTAAATTTGCACACACTAAGCTCAACCTTCTACAAGTTTATAGATCTTAAACTATTAGTGGCTTGATATACAGTGCTGCTGTTTCTACTTCATGCAGTCCTGCTGCAAAAAAAGAAATGCAGCATTTCCATAAAATGCTCTAAACATTATTGGAATTGATGTAACCAATTCAAGCAGCCTCAATATTAGTTTAGATCCTTGCTAACTCATGCCATCCAGATCCTTGCTAACTCATGCCATCCTATAACCACTAAACTAGCATCAACAGCAGAAACCCAAACAGATTCCCATGTGCTCTGAACATTGCAAAGACCAACAATCTTTTATTCAAAAATACCTCTATATTCTTTGTGATGGTGTTAGCAATCACTACCTGCCACACAACATTGGGAGTTCCACTGCTTTTTCAATACATAAATAATGTTTGCCTGTATTTTTGGTAACCTTCTCTTTAGTATTTAATGATAGATAAAATTTTACAATTCATATATATATATTAAGGTGCAACAGATGCCCCCAAAACATTAAATTTTTGTTATAGAAAGCTGTTCATTGTTTAAATTTTTGTTATAGAAAGCTGTTCATAATTTTATTATTGCATATTGGTCTAAAAAAATCCCCTGTACAACTATTGTGGTAGCCTTGCATATTATTATTTTTTATAACTTTTATCTAATGTTGGGATTGTCAGTCAAATCATTTCAATGCTATTTTAAATCTCTTTTTTAAATTTGTTTTTTGTCGCATTTTTTTAAAAGTCTTTTTTTAAAGTTTACTAGTTATGTGGATTATGTATATTTTTATTTATAAAATTTATGTATAACAATATTGTATAAATTATGAAGACTTTTATTTTATAATAAAAACCAAAATTGTTTTTATTGAAAGTAAAAGTACTTTAATTAAAGAAAGAAAAAAAAAATGTATTTAATATTGTATAATATAATAAGTATTAATACTGTTGTTATCATTATCATTTTTATATATTATTGTCATTAATATTAGCTGTATACTTCAGATTAGTTTATTACAATTTAAAGATGACTATGAATTGTAACAACTCTTTTTAGAAATATATATATTGATATTTTTAAGAATATTTATTAACATTGTTATTATATTTTTAGTATTTAATCATGGAAAAAAAGTACACAATAAATATATGAAATTATTACTTGGCACCATTCCTAGAGATGATAAGAAAATAAAACAGTTCTAAACTGCTAACACAGAGACAGGTCTTGTTATTTCCTCAAACCTGAAAGATTTGCATTGGGATCAAGCATTATCTGAAACTATAGACAATGTGCTCTTACACTATCAGAGAGCTAATATCGCAACTCTAGTAGGCAGAAAAAATATTGGTAGAGAAATTAAAGATTAATATAAGAAGGAATTCATTACTTTGATGAAATTGAAAGATTATAGAAGACAAGAAGATTAACCTAGAATAATTAAGTTTAAATCAGAATTGAATTTGACAATGAAACTTTATGAGAACTCAGTTGTAAAGGATATGGCCCCTAAGAAAAAGGTGGTAACATTTTTGTTGAGATTAGTGACACATCATGTACATACGCCCATCTAGTAAATGTTCATTGATGTTAGGGATAGTGCTTTTCTTTGATTCATGCCTAATAATAATTTTGCTTTCGTTTGTTCTTATTTCAGGAATTAACTGCTGATCTACCTCTTTGTGAGCTTGTTCTGTGTCTTTTATAGTTTAGTTAACAGCAAATCCTTCAAAAATTGACTTTTGTCCAGAATTTGCATTGTTATTTTTACTGTGTAAAGATCTGTACCTGGACGAATTTTTGTTGTGGCTTCTACAAGAAGTCCTTGTTCAACCAATATTACATAGTTTAAACGTATTATATAAACTTTTGTGAGTAAATTCTAGTAATAAAAGTTTATAAAAAAATAAAATGGAGAGTTATAGCATAGCAAGGTCATTAATTCATTCATAACACAAGCATAGCAAGGTCATTAATTCATTCAGAAGTTAATAACTTTTTTTCTTCTTCTCTTACTTATTAAATCAAGTTTTTTGGCGTGATTATAATGTTATTACGTTTTTAAAAGGTTTTATTTTATTATTTAAGAAAGTTTATTTACATTTTTATTATAATTTTGCTGTTATTTAAAATGAAAAAGTTTGAAGCTTCTGGAGTTTAAATGCATTGTAAATTATAGTTATAAAAATGTAAGCAGAGGAGAAACTCATATAAAGTATATTTTAAAACAGGTTAATGTTTTTTTTTTAAAGGAATTATAAAAACTTTAAGTGTTTCATATTTTAATCCAATCAATATGTGCATTTTACATTTTAATCCAATAGTAACATATTCCAATTTGAATTAAGCATTCTGATTGACTTATAATACATGTATAATCTGTCTTTTTCTAAACGACATTGAAAACAATTTTGTAATTATGATAACAAATTTTTTCATTAGAAAATAGCAACACAATAAGTAATAAAGAATTATTTTATCACAAACTTGATGCTAATACAAAATTGTAATAAATTGAGTTTAGGCAGAAATTTGAGGGGGCCATACTGGTATCAAAATCAGACTGAATACGTCGCTGATGATATTATTATTTTAAAACAACTTATATTTTATTTTTAGTTTATTTTAATTTCTTCAAGCTTATATGTTTGCTTATTAGCAAATAAATTTCAGAAACTAAATTGAGAAAAAATTTATATTTTTTATCATTAGATAACAGTTTACAATCAATAGGTCATTGTATATTAACTATAATTAATTTACCCACACTTTCCAAATGCGTGAAAAATTATTTTGAAAAAGTAAAAATTGGTTAAATTCAATAAGTATTTTTGATATATCTAATAACTTATTAACTAGAATAAAAATTATTAGAAAATAAAACACCCTTATTCAACCCTTGGAAATAGGAATAACAAGGTCAAAATATTATTACCCTCAAATGATGTCTATAGAAGATGAATGCAACCAAGAAATATCTAAATTTTTTTGTAAATCTTCTACACAATTATTTACACAAGGTGACTGCAAAGAGCTGATTCCACTTTGTCTGCGCATAATAATTAAGAGATCTGAACAAAAAAACTTCAAGATGCTCTTTCCAGGTGTCCTTTACAAAGCAAGGTGGATGAGTAAACTGCTTTAAAATCTGAAAATTGTGCTTCTGTCTGAACATATCAAAGAACATTTTCTAAAAGCTGAAATTGTTGCTAGCAACTAAATATGAAAAGTAGAAAAATTTGCTGTGCTCACAGTTTCAGTTTATGTACAGTGGCGACTTGTTTGTTCTGTACCAGCCAGCCCACCAATAAATGACTTGATTTTAGTAAGAAAAACTTTCTAAGCATGATTCAACTCTGGTTGAAAATGCTGGGATGGCATTTAGTCAGAATATTTGGTACTTATCCGAGGAATTGAATCCATTAGCTCTTTTCTTATATATGATAGCAATAGAAACCAAAAAGGAAATGAATTTTTTCCCTTAACTTTGGCATTATATTTTTACATTACTTTTAATACATCCCATAAAAATCCAATAGGAGAGAACTGGTGATTGAGGGAGGAGGGAGATGGGGGAATCATTATTTGATTTTTCTTTAACTCAGTTAAATAACTTATACAATGTTTTGTAGAATATGATTTAGATTTAAGCTTTGGATTGTTTAATTCTAATAAAATAAATGGTTTCCCAATAAAACTTTCTGAAGGTACAGCATGACTTTTTTTAAATGTTCAAAAAAACTACTTTTGTCATTATTTCCTCTATTTTTACAATGCCACCTGTAGCATTCTGACTAAAACAGTCCTACACCTTAAAACTACATCCACCATGTTTCACATTTGATGATGCACACTGTTTTATTATACATTCAAAGACTTCAGACCTTTTTTTTTAAATAATGATACTTACATAATTAGTTTTTATTTTAACAAAAATAAATTAAGCTTTAACATGTAAGTCATTTATTAAGTAAGTCAATTAAATTTTTATAAAATACCCACCATCATCTCCACAATTTTACTTTGCGCCACTTTTTTGTAGCATTAATCCATAAACCTCGGAAATTTTTAACACTATTTTAATATTTGCCTCTTTTCCTCAATATTCCCTTCACAATTGCCCAGTAAGATTTGATAACTCGCTGATCAGGACAGTTTGGTGGATTAGCATCCTTTGTAACAAAATTGACTTTATATTTCTTAACACTGCATTACTTTTTTGGAAAAGCGGATCGCCAGATCTGGCCAAAATAAGGTTGGTTGTTTGTGCTTTTTAATTAGAGAAAGAAGTTGTTTTTTCAAGCATTCAGTCTCATATATCTCTGATGTGAAAAATTGATTTATTATGAAAAGAGAGCTTTTAAAACCACAGCTGCTAATAGCCTGCCATACAAGGAACTTAATTTTTTAACTCAAATGAATTTTTCAACCTTTTTGCTACTATTTTATAATATCCTTTTAGATTTTTCTTTTTGAACACTGAATGAAAGATCTACTGCATTTAAACTTCCTAGCTAAATCTTATTGTGACTGAGTCGGATTTTGATGAATTGAGTCGACATTATGATTTTCCTTTCTTTTGGAAATAAATATTGATTTTCCACCACTTCCCGATTTTATTTTTACAGTTTTGTTTTCCATTTAACATTTCATAACAATTTCAATAGTTGATTTTGGAACTTTACATGCTTTTGAAATAATGGAATATAAGAATGATGGATTTTCTATGTAAAATTTCAAAATTGTATTTCGATTTTCAGACTCTTTACTAGAGATTGCAAAAACTAATGAGAAGTAAACAAAACTACACCCACTCACAAAAAAACTAATTATGTAACCATCATTATATAAAAACATCATTATAATTTATTAGGTAGTTTTTGAGAAAACTCTTTTTAAAATCCTCCAAATTTCAACCGATCATGGTGGTATTATAGATAACAGAGCTTTTTATCTAATGAAAAAAAATTTGATGAAAAAATATGTATCCAATTAAAAATAAATTAAACTTTCTGAATATTAAACCAAATTAGGCTTAAACCCTACAGGTTTTTTGCAAAAAGACAAAAAAAGAAAAAATAATGAAACTAAAGATTGCTTTCCAAACCCAAGCACTTGATCGGTCTGCATGTTCTACCTATTTAGTCACTGTATGTACTAAAGACGAATATGATGTCATATTGCTATCTAAATTTGCAATAGTATTTGTAATGAATAATGCATCTCTAAATTTGCAATAGTATTTGAAATGAATAACGAATATGATGTCATATTGCTCATCTAAATTTGCAATAATATGATGTCATATTGCTTATCTAAATTTGCAATAGTATTTGTGCATACATATGCGTTTTTACATAGTGGCTTCGAACCTTTGGTAGGCTAAAACATATATATATATATATATATATATATATATATATATATATATATATATATATATATATATATATATATATATATATATATATATACACACACACACACAGACACACACACACACACACATATATATATATATATATATATATATATATATATATATATATATATATATATATATATATATATATATATATATATAATAAAAACATCTATAGAGAAAAAAAAAACTTACATTTCTCTCAGTGAATGATCGTTTTGTAAAATAACCTAAGTTTATACAAAATTTAAAGGTAATTTCTTAAACTTTTTAAATAATAATAAAACAAATACGCAAAGCTTTTAATTTAATACATTATCATAATAAAGACACATCTAAGTGCCCAAATAAATGTGTGTCAAAGTTTGTTGATGATTTGAGATGACTTATTAAAAAAAAAATCTTTCTCTCCATAGCAGTAATAGCCAGTTTTGCGTCATTGTGCTATATGCAGTAGTTTTAACTGCTTAAAAAATTAAAATTAAAAAGTAACAACAATAACAACAAAATGTAAAAGAAAATAAATAAACATTAACTTTAAAGTTAATGTTTATTTATCATTTCAAGATAAATATTGCTCTGTGCACAATTTGTGTACAATATTTGTGTGAACAAATAACTAAACAATATTTTATCTAGTTCATAATGTTAAGCAAGTCAGACAAAAAAATTATTTCTTGCCTGACGTACTGAAATTTGTGAAAACTCATTTCTTGCTAATATATTCTCCTATCTATTATGTTTTTTCTGCAACTATTATTATAAAGTTGCAGAAAATATTTTTTTTTAAATTATAACTTATGTTTTCATTAACTTAAGGAGACGACATAAAAATATGCCGCTCTAAAGTTATTATTTTATAAATGATTTTATCTCAAAACTCAAAAATGTCACAAAATATTAGCCTTTTTTTTTCCTCCTTTTTTTACATCTTTGCTTCCAACAAGGCTGCAAGCAATCATTATAAGAGTTAAATGTTACTGGAAGAGAAAAGATGAAGTTTGTATAGCAAGATAACGATTGACAGACAACTTAAAAGATTGCAAATTATATGAATCAGGAAATGAAAGAATCGAATTCTAAACAACTGATGTTCGGAAAGATGATCAGAAAATGGAAGAATCGAATTCTAAACAACTGATGTTTGAGGAAAAAAACTAGATGAATAAGAGGTTTTGGAGCACTTAGGAATAGTCAGAGAAAAAGGATAAGACTTAATTGAATAACGAGTAACACAAGAATGAATTTTAGTAAATGGCACAAGAGATGCTAGCTTTTTAGAGCAGTGCCTATTATAGTATTTGTAGAAAAGAGAAAGAGAAGTAATATTATTGTGATAATGGTTGGAGGTTGGCGGCAATAGCAGGTACAACTATATTTACAATGCATTTTTGCACCTTGTCTAAAAGAGAAAGGGTATCATTTGAAGATTCGCCCCAGATATGGCAACAGTATTCCATACAAGGACGGATTTGAGATTTATAGAGATAAAGAATAGATTCCATAGTAAATAGTGTTAAGCTTGATAAAGAGATGCAACCTTATCAGAATAAATTTGCAATGGATTTGATATACAGTTTCCAAGGAAGACCGGAAGTCAGAGTTAATCCTAGAAGATGAAGGGAAGATGATTCATCGAGTACATGATCGTTTATAAATATAGGAAGATCTTAATTACTGCAATAACAATTGGCTGAAAAAAAATGAGTTTTATTTGAGTTAAAGTTCACCAACCACTGTGAGCCCCATGCTGTAGCAGAAGTGAGATCTTATTCATAAGATCTCACTTCTGCTACTCATACTCATATGCCCCCTCCAAGCAATCAAAGATTTTAATATGACAAGAATAAATTTTTTTAATATGACAAGAATAAATAGTAGTATCATCAGTGAACAATGCCACCTTAGATGTGAGAATATCTGGAAGATCGCTAATTTAAATTAAAAAGAGTATAGGGCCAAGGATCGAACCTTGAGAAATCCCTGACGTAACAGGATATGAAGAAGAGTGCTGTGCATCAAGAAGAACTTTTATACTACAATTGGAAAGGAAGGACTCAATAATCTTAAAAATGTTATCAGATACACTGTAAGAAGAAAGCCCACGGAGAAGACCAGCATGCCAACCATTTAGAAATGTCAAGAGCGATGGCCTTAACCTCTCCACCTCTGTCTAGAGTATGATAAAACCTATTGGTTATTACTGTTAGCAAATCAGCTGTAGAACGAAATCCATATTGATAATCAGAAAGTAAGTTATTAGATTTAATATAAGAGATTAAGTGTTTGTTAATTAAAAATTCAAAAACATTGCTTATTATAGGAAGAAGACTAATGGGATGGTAGTTGGACAAGTCAGATTGCTCTCCAGAATTTTTGAAAATAGGGATAACAGCATGCTGGAAAACAAGACTCTGATAAACACTTGTTAAATAGTTTTGAAAGTATAGATGACAGCTCCAGAGAACACTTCTGCAAAACTATAACAGGTTTGTTGTTGTCTGTTGAATGGACCACAAGCTGTAGAAGAGTCTAAGAAGGAAATCACTTTTGATACAGAAGCTGGAGTGATACGAATGTCAAGCAATGGATCAACCTGTTTGACAGCTATATCAGGTAGAACACAACTAGTGGAATCAAGAGATGATATTGATGAAAACTTTTTAGCAAACAATTCAGCTTTGTCTTTAGGTAAGGTGAAAAAGGCTGAACCATAGAAGAGAGGTGGAATAACAGATTTGCCTTTATTGATACTTTTAAAGATTCTCCAGAGGTCACGAGAGCCTAATTTTTGTGATGAAATACAAAATTTTATGACCTGAGAATAGCGAGTGTTGGCATTAGACAAAACCTTTTTACAATGGTTTCTAGCAATAGTAAACAGACATCTGTTTTCTAGAGAATTGTTTTGCTGATAGATATCGAAGTAATAGTTTTGATTGGAATTGCAGCAGCACAATGGGAGGAAAACCATGGAGAAGAGTGAGGCTTGACCTAGAATTTTCAAGAAGCAATAAAGGATTCCATGTCATCCTGAATCCACAAAGTTATCTAAGAAGCACATTAGACGATAAAGTTAAATAGTGCTAAACGAAAGCACATAAAAGAATAGTCTGTGGATTCAAATCTAGTTTCCTGACAAATGGGTGAATTCTTACGAGTGTAAATGTCTAAGCCAATCACTTGACAATTGGAGTCTTTAAGAACTAAAGGAAGATAAGCATCAACACTCACAAGATGAGACAACTGAACTCAACCATCACAAGATAAAACAGCTGAACTCAAATTAGTCTCACAAAGAGCAAATAGGTCTGGTGAACTTTGCAAGAGACTCAACAGAAGAAAAGTTACTTTGAAGACCAAAAATATTAGTGAATGATAGGTTTAGAGAACTTGGTGATGACGATGGTTTTTTGTATTTTATAGTTTTTGGTACTTTAGTCATCTTAAATTTCAGATATCCTAATAATTTTCAAAATAGTTTGCAAAATTCATTCAAATTCATAAATAAAAACTTAAGTCATTATTGTAGTTTAAAGATTTGTTAAAAATTTTTTTATTTTTTATTTCATACTCTTAGTTGAATATTTTCAGCAGGATCATATCATATTTTTATAAAGTTTGAAATTCTTATTTTATTTCATTATAGTTCATTTTGATTTCATTTTTAATTCAAATGAAAAAGTGCAAAAATCTTTACAATTGGAAGATAAAACATTTTCAAAAGAGAAACAAATTTAAATATAAAATAAGTTAAAAATATTTTTAATCCCAAAAAAACTTGTTAGTGTTAAACTAGGCAATTTTTGCAACTTAAAAATATTGCTTATTTTGGCTGGAAATTAAATCTTCAACTAGAGCCAAAGAATGAATTTCTAGAGTGAATTTGGAGTGAAATACTCCAACTATTATTTGTACCTCATTGACAAAGTTTATTAAAACCTTTAAGGAGCCTATTATTTTAACCACCTATTTAGATATATTAGGAAACATATTCAACAACGAATATTATGACACACCTGGTATTTTGTTATTGCATATTGTTTGTCCTTTTGTAATATTTATAATTTAAATTATAGACCTTGATATTTTAGTTGAATAACTAAATGCCACAATATTTATATAAATATATTTATATAACACTATTGTAAAAATTTAAAAAAAAACATTAATGAATTTTAACGCTCGTTTACAATCAAAACTGCGGCAACGTAAGTAACATTCATAAATATCAAGCTACAGTAACAATATCCGATTTAAAAGATAGTGCAAGTAAAGAAGAAAGTTTTATTTTGTAAAGGTGTCATTATTTTTTGTTCCAGGAAAATAGTTTAAACAAACCTTGGAATTAGTGTCAGCATTCGGCAATGCCAACCTAACTGCTGACCTAGAAGTGTTTCAGGTCAGCAAAAAATCGCTGACCTAATTTCCATGTTTCATGGTCAAACCTTTGTTTTACATTTTTTCTGCCAACCTGATGCCAACCTCACACAGATCGAGGTCAGCAAATTATTGCCGACTTTATTTTTTCTAATTCCGAGGGCTGTTTAAATAAAAAAAACATTCTAGTGCAAACATTTAATGAGTGATAAAAATTAAATTATAAAAAATAAATAAATCTACTTCTGTTCAAAATAACTTTTTTCAAAAAAAAAAAATGTATGTATATACTTAAACTTATGGAAATATAAATATACTAATATATAAACTTATTAAATAAATTTTTTTTGACTTTTAAAACAATTTGAAAGAAAAACTTGAATGAAAAAATCTACTTAAAAACACTTTAAAAGAAAATATTTATTATACTTAAATTTAAAATAGAATACTAAACCAAAAAGAAATAAATTAGAAGGAACAAGGTATCAAAAAAAAAGTTTACTTTTTTTTGTCTATAAATACATCATGTTTTTGCACAAATAATAAGTCTAAAATTTTAAGACAATAATGTTTTATTTTATTAATAAAAAAAAATTATTTTAGACACGTTTTATCCAATTAATGTATAAAACAGCAATAAAACATCTTAGCAAAGTTGTTTTATATTAATACAATACATATTTTATTGTTGTTTTATATAGTTTTTTACAATAATAATTTAATAAAACAAAAAATTAAATAAATAAAATAAAACATGTTTTATCGTCAGTCATTGTAGTATTAAATGCTGAGTGCAGTATTAAATAGTTTTTTTATAACTGTTTGAACTGGTTTAAATGTTGTAATATTTGAGTTTTAATTTTCTTTTTTTTAATAAGGATTTCACTGATGAAACTATCATTTATTACTGTCTTGATAAGAAGCCAACACTCTCTGATCGCTTGGAGGGGGCATATGAGCTTGAAAAGGATCTTACTTCTGCTACAGCATGGGGCTCACAGAGGCTTGTCAACTTTAATTCAGATAAAACTCAATTTTTTTCAGCCAATCATTATCGCAATAATTAAGATCTTCTTATATTTGTAAATGGTGATGTACTTGACAAGTCATCTACCCTTCGTCTTCTAGGATTAACTCTTACTTCAGATCTTAGAAAATGTATATCAAATACATTGCAAAATTAGCTGCTAAAGTTGCATCGAGCTCAACACTTTCTTACTCCGGATTCTATAAATCTCTATAAATCTCAAATCCGTCCTTGTATGTAATACTGTTGCCATATCTGGGGCGGATCTTCCAATGATACATTTTCTCTTTTAGATAAGGTGCAAAAACGCATAAACATAGTTGGACATGCTTTTGCAGCAAACCTCCAACCATTATCACATCGCCCTAATGTTGCTTCTCTTTTTCTTTCCTACAAATACTATAACAGGCACTACTCTTAAGAGCTAGCATCTATGGTGTCATTGACTAAAATTCATTCTCATGTTACTCGTTATTCAACTCAAAAGTCTCATCTTTTCTCTATGACTATTGCTAAAAGTTTTTTCGCTTAAACAGCAGTTCTTTGGAATTCTAATTAGTGGTTGCTTGCAGCCTTGTTGGAAGTAAAGATGTTTAAAAAAAAAAAAGAAAAAAAAAAGTTGTATTGGTAGAAGGCAACTCTAAATATGCATTACCACACTTCTAACCATACTATAATTTATTTCTTAAAACAATTTTATACTAATATACTTAATCTATTGTTTGTTTATCGCAGTTTGTTTATTTTAATTTTTACATATTTAATGTAGTATTTTTTATAAAGATTATAAACAATTTATAGATAGATTTTATCAATAACAGTTTATAGATAGATTTTTACCAATAAGATATTTGTAAACATAATTTATGTTCATAAATGTATTATGTCAAAAGAACTTTACACAATATTAAATTATTAAGAAACAAAAAATTTTAATGGTAAAAATAAAAATCATTTGGTGTGTGAATTCAGCACATATTAATAATATTATATGCTGAGTTTCATAGTTTTTACTTAGTTTTACAAGCATTTTCATGTTTTTTTTGTCGTAATGATTGTAACCATGATGGTCATAACAAAAAATTCAATGCTTAAAAACAACAAATAAAAAGATGCAATCAATGATGTAAGGAAAAGAGTATAAATGATTATTAACAACCATGTATATTATGTTAAAAAAATGACTATTACATCAAAGTTCTTAATTATGAATACCGTAAAATTGTAATAAAATTCTTCGCACAAAAGAAAAAATAATTAAATTGCTTATTTAAAAAACTGATAAATTTTTTATTTATTTAAAAAGATTTATAATAAGTAAATACTTATATAAATATAAAAAAATATATATTACTCATTAATGTTTTTATAAAAAATCATTAGCAGTGATTTGTTACTTTATTTAAATGTGTTTCGATAATATAAAGACAAATTTGTAACAAAAATTTTCATTTAAACACGAAAAATCAAGTTGTTACTCTTTGATGAAAATGTTTTTAAAAAAAAAACTTTTATAAGCTTGCACTGTAAAACTGTAAGCCAAAGAGTAAAAAAAATTATTAAATGTGTTTGTAATATTTATATGTAAAAATAATGTTTGCAAAATTGTTTGTAACAAACGAGTTGGATGCATTGAACTCCTGAATTTGCTTTTATGTTGTAAATGATCTTTACATTTTTTATAAATTATAAAATGACTTTCAAATATAAATTCTTAGGAAAGTGTTATACTTAAATATAATTCAATATTTTAAATAAATACTAAAAAAAAAATTATCTTTGTTTTTAATAATAAAATTAATTAAATTTAAAAATTGAAAGCAATATTTAAATCAAACTAATCAATCAAATTTTAAAAATAAAATATTATAAGATAAACACTTTTTTTATGTATTTAATTAAAATATTGAATTATATTTACCTTTTCATATTCATTAAATTTCTATATAAAAATATTGCTTCATAAAAAAGTCTAAAAAAGATGTTTAAAGGGGCTTTGAAATCTCTTTGAAAAGCTACCTAGATTATTGAGTCAAAGAACACATTTTATTTTGCCATTTCTTTTTTTTTTTAGCTTGGCATCTTAACAGCAACACTTAATTTTATTGAGTATTATTTTATCTTACTCTTTATCATTATTATAAAATATATAATTATTGTATATCAAGTATTATAGGTCTCATGTATCAAGTGAGTTATCTTAAGTGTGTTTTTTTTTTTTGTTAGTTTTGATTACAAGGAACACTTTACAAACAACACTTTACAGCTTCTAACTAATAACACATGTTAAAAGCGAAATGTACTAAAACTTAGAAATGCATTTGAAAGGGTAAAATCTATAAGTAAAAGACTTCTATCCCCAGTAGAAAATATGCATGCTTAGATAAAAAGCTTTTTCTTAACTATTATATTAAAACAGCTAAATTTAAATTATTACCATATTACCATATTATCTATTACCATAAAACAGCATAAAATTTTTTTGAATATGATAGAAAAATTTAAAAACATGTTTTAAAATTGTTTACCGAATTTAAAGAAATATCTTTACCTCGTCTTTTGAGAGAAGTTTTTGCAATGTTGCTCTAGCTTCTTTCCAAGCTGCCCTCCCAAGAGACATAAATGCATTTAAAGTTGTCTAAAATAAATAAAGAGATTCAAAAATATATAAAATGACAAACAAACCACTCAAATTAGATTTACGAGACATTAACAGGGGTGGAATTAAATAACACTCACTATGAATATCAGTGAATATAATGATAAGATCATGCTAATTTAAGAGAGATAGAATGTTAGATTTGTATTTGTTAATTACATTATTAAAGGTTTTCCAGAAGTTTCTAAACTTCTGAGGTAAAAAAATGAGGTAATCTGAGACTAATGGACCTAATTTTTTTAGACAATACCTTAATCCATCAACTTCAGACAATACCCCTTTGTTTCAACTTCTTACAATATTTAAAAGAGATTTGGTTTTCAAGAAGTTGTTTTTGGTAAATAGATAATATAATAATCTTTAGAATAATATAGAATAATCTTTTTCAATTCTTGATGAATAATAAAATGATGATTAGGAAAGCAGCACAAGAAGGAGAAAACCATGAAAACAACAAGAAGAAATCTATGAAAACAAGAAAGAGCAAACCATGAAAACAAGAAAAAGAAATCCATGGGGTAGCATGAGGATTGACCAAAAACCAATGAAAAAAAAAGAAAAGTTTCCATGCTTCCAGAAAATTATTTAAGGGGTTTAATTTTTGGTGGAAATACAAAAGATATCATCCCAATGACTATAACAAAGAAAATCATCAGAAGTTGCATAGCCACTACCAAAAACCCTTAAATAGGAAACAATGTATCACAGGTTTACATCTCGGCTTAATAGATGAAGAAGAGGTGTGAGCCTAGTCAACAGAAATTTTTTTCTCGCTGCTAAATTCCTTCAAAATATTGTAAAAATTACATTAACACAAATAAATGTACACAATATATTACAAATATGAGTACTCAACTATTGGAAGTCTAGTACCTTTTAAAGTTTTTGCTTAGAGAAAAAAATTTTTTGAATTTACTTTCAATTGATAATGTCTCCATTTGAATTATATGTCAATTATCCAAAATTGATTTGCCATATCTCTATTCAATACAAGTGAAGAAATTGAAGCTCAAGCAAAACAAAAGTTGTTTACTGCTTAATAATGTTTATCTTTACTTATATTGAAAAATGGCACAACATATATCACTTTTTTAATGAGTTTTCTACTTCACTTTTTGTAAACTATTATTCATTACTGACCTCTCACGGAAACCATATTGACTATCTATTGCACAATTAGCATTTGTTAAGCATCTGTTGAGGTAATGTGTATATAGTCCAACCCTCAGAATTAGGAAAAAATGAGGTTGGCAATAATTTGCCAACCTCTATCTTTAAGAGGTTAGCATCAGGTTGGCAAAAAATATTTGATACAAAGGTCTTACCATAAAACATTAAAACAAAGTCGGCAATTTTTTGCCGACTTCAAACACTTTGGGGTCAGCAGTTAGGTCAGCATTAGCGAACACCAACCCTAATTCCGAGGGCTGAGAGTTTATAGTATATATTCTGCATATATATTATATATTAGTGTAAAGGCCCCTATTAATCTCTTATTTGTCTGTATGGAACATTGTTTCCTTATTTGGGCATATACATACTAGTTTATCTAATTTTAGAACAAAATTTAGAAACAGATTTGACAAATAGGCAAAACGTGCAAATTTTGCATTAAAATGACAAAAAAAAAAAAAAAATTTCGGAAAAACAAGTTTTCGGAAAAACAAACACAGTTTTCTTGTTTTTGTCTCTCTTTTTTACTTTTCAAACAACTTAATTAGTTAACAATAATAATTTAAAAAAAGATACAATATATTTAAATGTAATAGAATAAACTATAAGTAATACACAATTTGTCTCCAGTTCCACCTCCATGTAAAATTACCATACTTGGCAAGATTTAACTTTTAACTAGATACCCAGCCCTGTTACTTATCATCATTAACACAAATGATTATGTATTATGAAAAATTACTAATATTGAACCAATGTAATATATAAAATGTAACATATATATAAAATTTATTTCATTTAAACTGTAAACTTTGTATTAACATTGATAAAAAAATCCTATTATAAAATTTTTATAATAATATTTCAATTAAAACTACTTCAACCCATCGAGAGTAGCAGCGGGAAAGGGCAAAGTTATATTGTTTTTTATAAAATCAATGCTACTTTTAAATAAAATAATAAAAATTGCAAAGACATGTGTTTTTTAGATGGCTTGCTTTGTTTGTACTTTATTGCACTCTTTTTACAAATTATCATTAAAATAACAAATGATTTTTCAAAATTTAACCTAAAAATTTAAAAAGGGTTATAATGATAAAAAAAAATTTTATTTTAAAAATTTAAGTTTTGTTTGTAGCAGAGCACAGGTAAGAATATCAATATTTTAGAATATTGATAATTAAATTTTTCACCTAGCAGCAAATTAATGTCCATCATTCAAATATCTAATAACTATACGTTTAGATGTTGGAACCATGGACATTAACACATATAGACCTAGATATTGACAACATGAAAGATTAATATTTTTGTAAAACTCTCTTGTTATTATATGTCATTTTTTACAGAAGTTTTAGGAGATTTAAAATCACAAAGTTTTTAGAAAATAATTATAAAATATAGTAGGCAAAATAAATCGATCGAAACTTTAATTATAAAAATATGAAGTTCATTGTTACAACAATTTTTAGTAAAATAAATATTTGTTTTTATAATTACTTCAAGGTTAACAAAAAATATATATATATATATTTAATATATTTTAATATTCAATATATTTTAATATATAATATATATAATAGATAAGTATATGTTTTTAAAGAAATTATTTCAAGGTTAACATAAACAAATTTTTTATAAAAGTTTATTTAAAAAATAAAAAATTATAAAACAACTCCTGTTAGCATAACATTAGAGTTAATTAATTGTAATTGTATGTAATTAAATGTAATATAACTGAATATATGTAATATATTTAAAACCTTATTTAATAAATTACCTAAATGAAAATAAAGTCTTTTAGGTTAAATAAAAGAAAACACTTTTATTTAACCCAAAAGGCTATTAAAAAAAAAATACTACTATAAAAAAGATTATATAAAAAAAAAGAATTCATAATTGCATAATAATTTATAATTACCAAAAATATTGGTAATTATAAATTATTATGCAATTATGAATTATGATCAACTTAACTGGAGGCCAAAAAAAATTTAAAAACTGACCCAATACATGAAAGATTACAGCTCGTATGCGTTATCAAAAAAAACAATAAATCATGTAAACAAAATAAAGAAATAGACATTTTTTAATGCAAACAAAATACTGTAAAATGGGTTAGTTTTTTTTATACATATTTGATACATTTTGTTTAGATACATATAGCATCCATATGACATCTCATTACATTTACTACATATACTAACAAACATAAAAATGATGTTACAATTATTTAAATTCAGACACATAAAGGCTATATGTATCTAAACAAAAATTTAAATTTTTGTCTTAATTCCCCTCATTTCCAAAGTAATAAACTGGGGTTATGGTAAAGAAAATGTTCATTTTTGTTAAAGGATAAATTAAGGTACATTACCTGTGCAAATACATCTTGCTTATTTTTTAGTTCTGGACCATCAAACAAATGCTTAACTTTACTTAAATCTAATACATGATCACCAATTGCAACGCCAATGCGAGGATCCTAAAAATAAAAATCAAGCGTCAATGTTTTTTTTTTCATATATCCACAGATAATCATCAAACAGAAGTAAAATAACATTATAGAATAAAATAACAGACTTTAAACTGAAAAAAGAAATATGAGAGTAATAAATTAGAATAATCGAATGAATACAAAAGCAAAAAAGTTAACAGAAAAATTTATAACCATACAGAAGCATAAAATTAATTGTCAGTTAATTGCACTGGGAGACCCTGGTGTAACTACACTGATGATAAGCTTGTCTCTATCAAACTCTATTGCTATTTCTAAACAGGTGGGTTTTTAATACTTTACCTTAAGGTTTGTTGGAAGTTGGGTTTCATCACTTTCAGAGAAAAATCAGAAATATAAAAAAACTGGTAAAGAGCTGAATCAATAAAAAGATTGGCAAACAGCTGAATCAATAAAAAGACTGGCAAACAGCTGAATAATCAAAAGTATTAAAGAACTAAAAAATGAATGGAATTTTTAATTACAGCATAATTAAATAATTGTTTAATAAGTTTTTAATTAAAATGTAGGAACTTAAAATGTAGTTAAAAATAATTTAACTGACGCTTTAGATTTATCTAAACCATAAGAGAACAATTCATTCATTTCTAATTCAGTTTTCCAATATAATCTTAAACTTTCATTGAAACAGTATTTTTCTTCATAAAATCTCACTCTTTCATACTTTTTAATTCTCTTCTCAACTTTTTATTTCATCTTAATGTCATATTTTTTTACTCATAACTTTGATCTTAACCTAACCTTAATATAGAACCTTGATTTTGAAGAGCATTGCATCTTTGCATATATTTATTTAACTCTATTATCTTTTATTTTGTTTTAAGGGATATCAAATTAATTTCCTCTTCAAATTTATTCTCTTTTTTATTCCCGGTAGTTTCATGTAAGATAACATGTATTTCATGTTTTATGTATATTTCACATTGAGATGTGCAATTGATTTAGTCTTACAAATTTTTTCACAAATTGCATTTTAGAAGATATGTATTTTCTTGAGCCAGTATATTTCTATAAACTAACAATTTTTCTATAGCAACATATCTCTATATTTTTATAACAGAAATCTTTGTCATGGCAAACCATATCCCTATTCCAACTCTTTATTTTTCAAGAAATATTTTTTAGAGTAGACTTAAATTTTGTATTTTAAGTTTTGTATTTTGTATAGGCAAAAAACTATTTCATTTTTTTTATTGGGTTTGTCTTACAATTTTGTAGCTTCTGTGTTCATCAGGCATCTTACCTTATGTCTGGCAACATGCACAATTGATGACTTCCATCTCTGAAGTGGTGAGACAAATGGTGCTGTCATTTAAAATCATTTGCTTAGATCAATCAAAAAAAGTTTTGCTATGAATATGGCAATTTCACAACTAAACTAAAACAAAGAATATTACAATCAAACTTGAGAAAATATGCATTTAATTTGGCTGTCACCTAGAAAAAAACCCATGGGTGCCACATCAAGGATGACCAAGAGCTGCCATACTGCCTGGGACAGCAATTCTGATTTTCCCTTATTTACCTGATCTTTTTTTTTAGGCACCTTCTTTTCATTTGGTGCCCCTTGGATATCTGCTGGCCGGAACAAACTGTCCCTTTGGCCCTCTCTTGGCGGCCCTGGCCACATCAAATCTGTTCTGCTTATTCAAACAAATAATGTGATGGGTGAACAAAAAAAAGTCAATGTCATTTGCCATACCCATTATGTGGAGGGAGCAGAGAGATCATCTTAAAGATTATTAACTTTGTAGAGGAAACTGAACAGGGTTTCATACAAGGAACATATACAAGATTGTTTACCAAGTTATGGATCCAGTGCAACATAATGAAGAACTGCTCATTCGAACTCCCCTGGATAATGATGTAGATTCTATCAAAGATAACATGCATAGTGATGAAGGTGCAATTGGGGGTGTTCCCGAACCTTTTGCAGATCCAGATTACACATTGGTAGGTTTTTTGAACCAAAGTTATTAACCTAAAGACAATAGAATGATCTTTATAAGGATCTATCACTAAGGTTAAAAGTGTCCCAAGAACTAGCAGTTTGTCCATCTGTGCATTTAGTTGATCCTTAAAAAATCTTCTTAACACCTCTCCAAACTAAAATTGGTTTAATAAAGAACTTTGTTAAAGCAGTGGTTTAAGTCAATTTATAAGGGTTCCAATACCTTGCTAAGAAGATTCCAAAAGTAAGTTAGTAAAGCAAAAATTTTCAAATGGATATGTGCAAACTTTATGGGGAAGGAAAAAAAAATTTAATTATTAAACAGTGCTCAATAAAAGTTTTATAATGTCAAAATTGACCAGTGACCACAAGTTAATAATTAAAAAAAAATGATTGTAGATATCTTTTAAACTGTAAAAATAAACAGTAAATAATATTTTCAAAAGAGTTTTTATTTAGAAGCGTCTAAAATATAATTTTTTTTAAATCAACAATATTTAATAAAGTCGTTTTCTATTTTCTACACTGGGAAGTCTTATAAAACTTTTTTTTGGAAAAAAAGTTTTATAAGACTAATGAACTACTGAACATCCAAACAGACCAATAACGATTATTTTTTGCTATAATTACATTATTCCTCACTAAAGTTCTGTAAATACAAATTATTTTTACAAAAACATTATTTACTGATGTGTGTGTGTGTGTGTGTATATATATATATATATATATATATATATATATATATATATATATATATATATATATATATATATATTTATCAGGTAAAACCTCCTGTAAATATAAGCACTCCTTTTTTAAAGGTGCTCATACATACTTATTATTTAAAAAAATATCACATGTGCTAACACACTATAAGTACTGGATAAACAGTGTGTTTTAACAAAAAGATATTACAAAAACTTCCAGTAATATCTTTTATGAAGATTCTATGCTATTAAAATTATTAAATTTTTAAAAATTAATAAATTTATAATACTTCTCGGAACAATACTCATAATTTATCTGTCAATTTTTTGTTTTAGGTTAATGAGTTAAAAAATTTAAACTTCTTCTTGAAAAGTTTATTTGTTACTCATACGAGGTATTGACTTACGACGATATATGTATACACACAAATACACACACACAGATATATATATATATATATATATATATATATATATATATATATATATAATATATATATATATATATATATATAGATAGATAGATAGATAGATAGATAGATAGATAGATAGATAGATAGATAGATAGATAGACAGATAGATAGATATTTGCGTGTGGATGTCTATGTTTACAATTCAATTAGATGTAAAAAATGCGTCTTCACTAAAAAAGTAAAAATACTTATAAATACCGTTCCATTAGTAGAAAAAATACCATAAGGAAGATTTTGTATAGGAAAATGACTATCCTCAGTAACAGGAATAAAAGACATTTCTTCTTTAATTAAATATACCAAATCTTTGTATGACTTATACCCAAATATATTTTCACGAAAAAGGATTACAAGACGCACATGATATTAAAGGATAATAGCATGGGATTTACCCAGCATTTTGGGGACTTCCTTTGATAAGTTGTCGTACTTAAAGTTTATGCAGTTTTTTTGCGTTTAAGCAATTAGACGTATAAATGCTAAGCTTTTTTGCATACGTTTTATGCGTTAATAGACAAATTTAAATTTTAGATTTTATTTGTGTTTTTTTTTGGACAAAATATAAGCTCAAGTGGAAAAAGTGATAATTTTCTGAAATGATGATTATGCCAAAAATTCTGTAATGAAAAGCAATATCATTCAGATCACAACGTATTTGGGCAAAATAAACGTATTTGGGCAAATAAGTGTACCCCTTTATTAAAAAGTCATTTTTTATGGAGTTAAAGCTGCTTATTTAAACATTGGTTTAAAAAGTGTGGAACACGTCTGTATATGCGGCAGTTTTGCTGATTATTTTACGTTATTTTTTACAATTTGCTCTATAGCTAGAATAATTTTTTTAGTTAGAAACAATGTGGAGGTGAAAAGCTATATTGAGTTTCACATTTTTTTGTTATTTTAAGTTTAAATTGTAGACAAGTTATATGGAACTAAGCTAACTAATTCGTTAGTACACTAATTTGTTTTATATGGAATTGTATATTCCCAACGATGTTGATACCTTATTTTGTTGATTCATATTACCACGTTAACGGCTAAAGTAAGAACTGTGAAAAATTAAGTTCATATTCTACATAATTGAGGGTATGTTGTATATGTATGATTCTGTGTTGAATTTTTTTAGAAAAGTATTTTTGTTGTAAGGAGTTGCATGCTTGCAAGGTAAATTCCAGCTGTGGAGGTCTTTACAGCTACATTTTATATAGTTTTCAGAGAAAAACAATGCCATATACTGGCATTCATGTAGGGTCTTTTTTTAAATGATTAGACAATAAAAATAAATTGAATTCTACTTTAAAAAAATACTGTTACAACTTTAGTACACTATACAATAAAATTAATTAAACTAAAACATTAAAAATTACTTGTCTATAATAAAAAGTTGTTATTAAAAATTGCTTTCGCAGTTTCTTGTTTATTTGTTTTTCTTTTTTAAAGATGTATAGTTTGTTTTCATAAATAATTGTTTTCATAAATAAAAAATTATACTAACCGTAAATTAAGTCTGGAAACAGCTCTTTACATGTTCAAAAAACTTTCCGGCAGGTAATCGGATAGCGACATGCAAAATTATACTTGACAAATAGTTATCAAAAATTCATAATCAAAAAGACAGTAAAGATCGCTATATTTTGCTAACAAAACGTTAATAAAAAAGGATATTTAATTAAGAATGAATTCACACATCAGTATTAAAGAATTTTTTAAATATCCAATATTTACAATGCCTCTAAATTTTGACATCTTACCAATGTCGGTTTACCTTTGTTGCAGCTAGCTAGGATTGCCAAAAGTTAATGAACTTTACTTTTAATTAAAAAAAAAAATCAGTGTTACTTACAACAATGATAAGTAACATTGAGTTTTTTTTATAAAAGTAAAATTTCCTAATTTAATATAATGATATATTATAGAAAATAAATGTGTTAGTAAAAAATAGTACGGAAAGTAAATTTTGTCAGAAAATTTCCTAACCTACTACCATGCCATACTTTTTTTTATAATATACTTAGTTTATATAATATATTACATTGTTCATTTGTATTTAGAATAAATATTGTTATACAATTTTTTTGTTGTCGCAAACAATTAATATTCGGCTCGATAGAACCGTAATATTATTTTAACACATTTTAACTTACCAATCTTTTTTCTACAACAAATTTCACAATAGCTTCTACAACATGTAGCTATCGACAAGATAAAGACTCATTGTAATTCTGTAGATGGATAAGAAGCTACGATATGTAACATTTGATTAGCTATAGATTTGTCGTTATATAGCAGTTAGGTACAAAGCTTCGGTACGTTGGGTTCGGTACGTTGCTATAAACATAATGTAAAAATATATATAGCTATACAACTGCAAAGTAGGTATCATAAAGCTTATTGCTATCAAGATGTTTAAAACTCAATTGTTATTCTCAATATATTAGAACTAACACTAAAACTCAAACTTTTTAAAAGGTAAAAGACAAAAGTAAACCATTACGTTAAGGAAAAAAATGGTTCAAAAATTGCTATAAAGCTAGCTACTAAATGTAGATGGTACTAAATGTAGATGGTACTAATTGTTGATGGTACTAAATGTTGATGGTACTAAATGTTGATGGTACTAAATATAGTTGTTACTAAAGATTATCAAAAAATAAACGTGTTAAACAAATTTTTACTGACATGTTTCTAAAATTGATTCTTCAAATTTTTACTGACATGTTTAGATAAAACAAAGATTCTTTAAATTTTTACTGACATGTTTAGATAAAACAAAGAAGTCCCAAGTTAGTGAAAATTTTTTTGTAAATAATAATTAAATTAGAAGTTTGAATCTTTAAAAACTCTTTTATTGAAATA